AACGTCCGGTATGAGGGTGAAGCGGGCCGTCCCCATACCCCGTCCGGTATGAGCGCCAAAACATTTAAAGTTTCATACTCCGTCCGATATGAGAGACTCCGTTCCCATAGGGTTCCCTATGGACCCGCTCCGTCCACCATCTCTAGGATATCTAGTGAGGCTGTCGAACTTATCCATTTATAAATTCACATACCCTTTTTATTTTTCTTAGTCTCAATTACCCAATCAACATGAATACGTAAACCAGTAACGTACACCAAACAAGGCAACACAACATTGGTTTCACAATAATTCAAACCATAATAGATTAAATAGTGATTCATGCATACGAAACCACAGAATAAACAATCAAATACTATATTGCACTTAGACTGTAGAATACATCAAACAAGAGCAGACCGACAAATACATCAGATTCGGGCCCCATTAGCAATCTTAATTAATTATACATATCTATTAATTCATAAAATATCGTTTTATCATTTATTAAGCTTTAATACCGTGATAGAAAATAGGATGATGGATCCTTACTTGTTTTGGAGTCTGAAATCGGGTTCTCACTGCGTCTACGGGCAGTCTTTAGATTCCCTGAATTTTTCTTCATAAATTAAAACACATTTCCGGTACCTGCACATGTCTCCAAAAACCCCAAATCAGACCCAGGGCCTATTCGGCCAACTTTGGAATTCCGGCATGACGGCTCCGCCGTGCTCCGGCGACGGTGCCGCCGCAAGCGACAGCAATCCACCTCAGGTTGGCCGTTTTCGACTAAATTCGGCCAAACTTGCATTGGTTCCTATGATAAAACACACATAAGGCCCTCGGTGGGCCGAAAAAACTCAAAAAACTGAGACTTACCGGTGGCAGAGCTCTCGGGTGCGGCGGCTCATCCGGTGCGAGTCGTGATTTGGTGTTTTACTCCGGTCAACCTATAGAGGAAAGGACAGTGGTCACAGTGGTATAAAAATTATATCGAATAGAAAACGGGAAGGGCCTCATCGGACACAAAAATTGAGAAAATCTGTGGCAGCGCCGCTGGGCTTCGGCGGCTTTTTTCGGCTAATTGATCGGTGATTTGGCTCCGATTTGGCCACAGGGGGGTTCAGCATCGAAATCCTTGCCAATGTAAAAAATTTTACCTCGTTTGGCGGTCGAAAAGTGCCCCGGTGCGGCGGCGGGTGGCGGCGGTCGGTTCCTCTAGTGGCTGGGCTGTCTTCTCCGGCGAGGGCTCTGGCGGCTAGGGTTTGGGGTTGGGTGTAGATGAGATTATTTATAACCCTCTCCTTTTAATCTAAGCCGTCCATCACGATTTAATCTAGACCGTCCGATCGCGATTAAATAGAAATGAATCTGGACCGTCCATCGCGATGCGATCTGGGCCGTTCGTGCGTGATTCAATCTAGGCCGTCTGCACGCGTGCAATCTGGGCCGTCCATGCGTGCG